TTTCGATTTGTTGCTGTCTTCAGTGTATGTATTGATGAAATTGTATAAGAAGTTGGCAGATCTCTCTCTCTCTCTCTCTTTCTCTCTCTCTCGCTCTCTCTCCCTCTCTCTCTCCCCCAAGACACACACACACACATACACACACACACACACACACGAACACGAACACGTAATTGATAATGCAATGACTTTACATTTTAACAACAAGCAATCCCATTGTGGTGTGAACCAGGGACATTGCTACACGTCCAAGGCGAACGCCGATGTAAATACGGGTGRACTATTCAATTAGCAACGGATACTATCACCGAGTCGGAAGAAGATGCATTGCGGCAATGGGAAAATAAGTTCAACAATTACAAAACATTGTCAAGCACCAAGAATCCAGCGACGCGAGAGGAGTTAAGATTCACAGTCCACGATATGAGTATCCTAATGAGTGGCACACGATGGTTAAACGATGACATTATAACTTCTACAGCAATATGATAAAGGTTGACAACATGTGTAGGACTTCCCATCGAGTCATCGACAGTGCGGTACGCAATCTAACATGTCCGCGAAGTACGCAAAGGGTTTGATTCCGCGAACAAATGTATGTAACTCTTTCTTTTTGGTCAAGCTCATGGATGACAACTTCAGATATCACTATGACAAAGTAGCTAAATGGTTCAAAGAYGTATTGATCGCAGATACAGACTTGATTTTAGCCCCATACCATAACATTCATGAAAAGCATTGGACACTTGTTGCAGTAGACCTTCGACGCAAAGTTATAGAGTACTACGATTCGATGAAACCAAACTCTGACGTTGCAAAAAAKGTAGTCAATAACTTCGCGAGGTACGTGTACGATCGATCAACACAATRAGGAAAGCAAGTCAACACTAGACGTTTCAAGAAGGTATTAGAGGTGGTTGGTATCCCGAAACAGAAAGACATTCATCARTATGGAGTATTTGTGCTMGCATACGCATCTCTTCTGGCAAGAGGTCGTTTGYCACCATTCGATTTTGATATGCACGATATCCAACGCATTAGACGAYGGATCGCACTAGACTCRGTAACAACTAGAGAGGATKCGYAACAGGTGACAGATTGCAGAGGAGATTGAAGCGGTTGAAAGGTGACAGTTATTGAATTGTTCGGTTGCAAGTCACTTATGACAATTTGCAAATGTACAATGTTATGTACAATATGAAATGYTCTAAYCGACAGATCGCAAATACAGCGACRCAAACATGAAACTTYTACGTAGTCAGACAACATGTAGAGGTCAATGTGAGGTCTGCATATGTATGGTCTATGTGAGGTCWGGATATGTATGGTCTATGTGGAGAGCAGAATGTAACATATATCATAAGCATATGTATGGTGTATGCGGTATGATGTGCATATGTATGGTGTATGCGGTATGATGTGCATATGTATGGTGTATGCTGTATGATGTGCATATGTATGGTGTATGCGGTATGGTGTGCACATGTATGGTGTATGCAGCATGATGTACCCCTAATGGTGTATGGTACATGATAGTTCACCGACCATATATGGTCCATGTGGTACCATACGACGACAACCTAGCATGGTCTACATATAAAGCCAGAAGTCACGATTTTGAACGAAAATTTTGTACATTTCTCACTTRATTCAATTTCGCGATTTTAGAAAAAAATGTCAGTTTTAAYGAAATGTTAGTTACTTACTCCMGACCTACATGGCATAGCCWTATCCCTATCCAAATACARCAACTACTACTCGTCGCATACAAAATTTATGGTCCTTCTCCACAACTCATSACGYTGGCTACCAAAACGTTGGGAAAGTCCTTCTTGACTAATTYCTGCTGCAAGCCCAACACTCGTCCAGGAATCTCTGATCATATYGAGGTATTTTGTTAGATACGATGTAGGTGGTTGCCAATGGTCGMGCTCTTTTGTTTCTTGCTACCCCAAGAATGAAAAKACTGGCCGTTTRTATAATTAGYTTATCCTGCTTCCAAATGCAGCTCTCATTCACARCCCAGGAACTCRGTTGTACCCGATCCATTGTCCGTTCTTTTCAAAACCAGTCCATCYGGATAACAGTTAACCAGAGCTCTAACAATGTGAAGGCGTGTCGCCTCATCCWGGCTTGAAACAATYAGTAGTACATCATCAATCAGTCTCAAACCCCCAAACATACGACATCTTCGTCCGAGTGTGCAAGTCATCTGGTACTCAGAGAACGCACACATGATACATGCAATGGGTGGGCTCATACTCTTACCCATGGGGACACCTATTACCTCTCTAAGCAAAATACCCGTAGCAAGGAAATAGGTGTGCTCAATCTCCAGATGCCAAAACTGCTTGATCGTTTCCAAGTCTATTTTCTTCCAGTGGTCATCCCCCGTTGAAAGTCCAAATGTTGTCCCTTTGCCCCTGGTATTAGCTCTCACAAACTCGAGTCCTTTCGCTCGGTAATGTTCGATAATCCAATCCACCGCCCTCAAAATCGACTCATGCGGCAACTTCGAAAACATCTCTTTGATATCAAAAGAGTACGTACTAAWTTGTCGWTCCCCGGGTARCTTATCCAATCTCCTGTTGATTGTTTCCAATCGCGCAAGTAGGTCCGAAACAGCTCGCAGATTGAAGTGCCACCTCTTTGGCAACTAACCCAAGAGGTGGTTCAGTGCCTTGCTCATCAACCACGCAGTTTTGACCATCGGTTCATTAAATGACGGGTAGATAGGTCTGTACCTGCCTAAGTCCTTGTTTCGGGATTACATAAGCCTCACCAAAGCATCCCTTGGCATCCCAACTTACAGATCTGTTGATTCCCCTCCGTAGGGTATCTTCGCGGATTTCCCGCAGAACCTCCCTTTCAGAGTTGTCAAGAAGTTGGTAACCTGGATTGTAGACAAACGTGCACATCATAGCGTCATAGTACATAACAGGGCACATAACAATTGTCTCCCCGGGGTTCCTGTCCACAGGTGATACCACCAACCCCTTCAAACGATCTTTCAACACTGTCACATCACTCAACAACAAACACGACGATGACCCAAGAGTTGGTTCAGTGCCTTGCTCATCAACCACGCAGTTTTGACCATCGGTTCATTAAATGACGGGCAGATAGGTCTGTACCTGCCTAAGTCCTTCTGTTTTGGGATTACATAAGCCTCACCAAAGCATCCCTTGGYATCCCAACTTACAGATCTGTTGATTCCYCTCCGTAGGGTATCTTCGCGGATTTCCCGCAGAACCTCSCTTTCAGAGTTGTCAACAAGTCGGTAACCTGGATTGTAGACAAACGTGCACATCATAGCGTCATAGTACGTAACAGGGSACATAACAACAGTCTCCYCGGGGTTCCTRTCCACAGGTGATACCACCAACCCCTTCAAACRATCTTTCAACACTGTCACATCACTCAACAACAAACACGACGACGTTGCATCTCCCRGCGCCAGGCATGCTGACAAATCCACTCCATTACAATTAGGAATCTCCCCTCCYAAGTTCTTCCAAGATAAAAAACCCTCACGCAATTCCAAACGCAGCAACTCCAGTCTATTCGGCACCTCAATTTTAGGGACGTTATTCGCATTCGACAACGACGGGTGCAAGTCGGCTACCTCGCTGAGCCGAAACTTCACGTGCTCATTCTCACGCRRGAAGTCCAAACCTGTACATGTACAGGTATGGTTGTGCAACAAGTCAGCGACCGTAGGGTTCTTACTGCCTACGATGCGAATCTTCCTACGTGCGCGGAGCAAAAAACAGATCGGTAGGTGACAAGTCATCAACAAATCGTTAACAACCTTCCTCACCTYCGAGACCACAACACRATCATCGAATTTGATCTTGAACGTAAGATCCGACGCCAAACTTAACCGRAATCGCTCACGAAAACCTCAAGTTACCAATCTACGTAGGTACTTTCTCGTTGACTTCCTRCTGAAGTYYTTARTTGCATGGWAGATGCGAAGCCACRCCTTGATGCCCCAGTGGTAAAGACTACGCAGTTTGCCAGSGTTCCGTWGAATCCCRATGAGAACCTTCTTCARATATCCTCCCTTAGACTCCCACTTCACTATATGCACTATTTCCAGGCATCCTCCCATTTCCAGTCGTCCTTTGCATTCCTTAAGGGTACATGTCGGCCCCTGTGTTTGAAACTTGACCTTGGTATCTCCAAAGGTCTTTCRGATTTTYTTCCAGTTAGGCGTCCAATCAATTCCCCCTTCCGATCTCACARCACAAGGACGATTCCCTTCGTTGAGTCTRTCTTCCAAGAAAGCATGTAGGTCTAAGAAACTACGTCCAGTTTCATCAATGGAGAAATGAATGGGCCTAACAACCCTCGTCGGTCTGGGTTCCCCTTTCCCTCTTTTCCGTTCCCTCTCCCTTCTCCCCAGTTTCTTCTTCCTAYAACCTTTCCCCACCTTCKTCCCARCAGTGTTCAAGAATGGCGACCAACGATTGATATACAAGTTCTCAAGCTTCAACAGATCCTTCCCGTCAAAAATATCTACTGGAATCAACAGGTAATTGCCACAGCCAAAGGACGCCACCCATCTGTGAAAGTGGGACTGCGTCTTCTTCCTAACTGYATACAAGTGTTCCCGCCATCGAACGATACAGGKGCRCGTTGTCTTCCCAATATAACAAGCCTTACAAAACGGTGAKATAGCTACATACACAACACCCGTTAATCCCAAGAACTCAATACCATGCGTATCATACAACCGCATCCAAGTATCAACATACCTCTTAAGCCATYGGATCTGGCCATGTAACGCCAACAGGATAAATAATAGGCGTAACAGTTCCTCSCACTTGGTATTCCCACAACCTTGAGAACATCTAAGCCGCGTAATATACCTGCATAGCTCCCACSAGCGTGTCGGAGATATACCCAATCAYGCTTCGGTCCCGGCGGATTCCTYARCTTCAACTGAGTCAGACCCAAGTTYTATCGGATGCAAGTCAACTGCTTCAGCCTCCACATCGTGTCCGAAGTGACGTTGTGCCCGATGCTCATCTAAGCAAAAAATGGTGTCCAACTTACCATCATAATGTATGCCCTCCTCCCGGCACATCCGTTGTAACTCATCAGCATACARTCCTTGATTTCYTTGATCACGGCATCACGGAACCTCAGTCGCGCCAGAGCTTTATTGGCCGGCGTCAGTCTCCCAGACGGTGGAGTCTTCTTTGACTTACTCAACTTTGATAACGGGGTCATCACCGGAGTGCGCGTCTTCGCAGGGATCACARCACGCACGCCCTTCGCTTTAYTCCTCGAGYGYGTTACTCGTATACACCGACTACCTGACTTGAGGGCAGGTCTTCGCGGGGTCYGTTTAGMTGGTAACTCCATCGGGGGACTTCCCTCCATCACCACGTCTTCCTCCCGTTTCCTCTTTTTTGCTAGGCATAATTTCCCCGTCTTCACACTCAACTCCTGAGTAATGCTTGTCTCGCTTCCTTCRGAGTTATAATYCGACGCTTCCTCATCATCACTAACAACTTCCACGGCCTTCTTACCCTTTACATCCTTCGAGCCACCGATGGTCCCTGGGAACATCGCAGTTCTCCACTCATGTAGAAAATYGTCTTTAATTTCACAAATCATCTTCGCTACATGCAGCGTAACCTCCTTCTTCATTTYTGCTCGAGCGACCRCCTCCTTTCTGGCCTTCTCCTCCCTCCTTTTCCTTTTCGCTTCTTGCTTTGCTGCCTCCTCGACTCTTAATCTCTCTTCCTCTTCCTCTCTGCGTATCGCTTCCTCYAACTGCTGCTCTTTCCCCCGCTTCTTCCGTGCCTTCTCCTCTTTTCTGGCACGTACCTCGTCAAAGTGTTCCTTCATAGTCGCAATACCTTTCGAYAGCTCAGCGACCTTCACCCTCAAATCCGACTCCMCTTGMGGGAGCGGCCGACGACCAAACTCGGCGCGCCTTGGTGAGCGAGAGCGCCTTGAATCCGTCGACGTCGAGGGTCGACTCACTCGCCCACCTCGTTATGGGCATTGGTTGGCATAGTGYCCTTCCTCGTTGCAATTGTAACACACCACTGGTCGATATGGACGRCGTTCTCTGCCTCCACATTCTTCATCCCGTCTTTGGTCGTAGCTATCACGATTATCATCACGTCGCCCGGAAGTCGACATCCTGGAAAAGTACTATACACAACTAAGTGGTCAACAAACACGCGCACTCCAAACCCRGTAATCCTWCCCAGGCAAGTTCACGTGTGCAGTAGATGAGTTGATAGGATATGGTGGCARACAAGGTGTGAACACACAAATCATCACACATAGTCACAAAGTGACACGTAGACGCAAAAAAGAAACGTCAATGGTTCCACTTCAACAATCCGTCAAACCCTGAACAACCGCCGCGTTCCGCGGACCTTTTTTTAATGATTGTCCGCCGTCGTCACGGCCGAAATCGAACAGGACCAAAGGAACGTAACAACTCTAATTTGTATCGGCCGTAGTGGGTGTGGCTAACCACGCAATGAGATGCATTTTTTAATTTGTATCTCTTTTAGGGTCTGGCCTAGACATCTCGACGGTGGCCCAGCCACGCGACAAGATGCTATTTTTTATCTTTTTTTAGGGCGTGCCCTAATATATATATATATATATAATATATGTAAAGGGTCACCAACCGATACGTATGGAGGTCCCCTGGCCGACCCCTGTACGTACGAGCGTTCCGGGTCCCGTTCGGGGTCCGGACCTGAAGACGTTCGGTCCCCGCCAAAAGTTATTTCGGGGCCTAAAACTAAGTTTTCGTTGCTCAATCTTTTTTTTGAGTTTTCTATGACGTGAGGTACATGACATAAAATTTTGAAGTCATTTCACTTAGCCAAACAAAAATTAAAAATCGCCAAARATGGGAGTATCCAAACTTGCTCGCCAACTCACTATTTTTTTTTTTTTTCACTTTTYACTTCTTGTTTTCATTTTATTGTGGGGACCAGGGTAATMGGCGTGCGGGACAGGCCGAACGCCCGRACCCGAACACCCRAACGTATGGGAACCCTTGGGGATGCSTTCGGYCGTTCGGGCCGAACGAGGACCCAAAAAATCACAAAAATCTGAAAAARMGATATGTTATGGAGAAAAATAAACTAAACAAGATTTGCCTGAGCATTAYATCCGAATTCCTTACCAAATTTGAAATCAAAATAAAATATGGAAAATAAATACTAATAATAAAAATAAAAACTATTAAAAATAAAATCAAATTTAGTGAGTGTGCGAGCATGTTTTCGACACCGCCATCTTTGGCGATTTTTTTTTTTTTTTTGGCATAGCTAAATGCCCTGAAAATTAGCAGATGTGTGCTTCACATAATGCAAAACCCACTAAAAAAGTTTCAAAATTTAATAAAATTGTTTAGACCTCGACTAAAGTGAAAACAAGAAGTTAAAAGTGAAAAAATACGTGGGCGAGCACGCTTTGACACCGCCATCTTTGGCGATTTTTAATTCTTATTTGGATTAGCCAAATGATTTGACAATTTACAGGCATGAACCTCACGTCATAGAGAAATCACAAAAACAAATTCAAAAAACAATAATTATTTTTAGGCCCCGAAATCATTTTTGGCGGGGGCCGAACGCCGTCGCGTACGGATCCTGTACGRGAACCCGAACGCCCGTATGTACGGAGGTCTGCCCAGGGACCTCTGTACGTACGGGCTGGTGACCCAGACGGAGACTGAAAAAAATTACTACTTTTTAAAAATTTTGTAATGACTTTTGTACTATGTGAAGTAYATCTCTGAAAAATTTCAAGGCATTTAAATATGCCAAAAAAAAAGAGAAATTGCCAAAGATGGCGGTGTCGAAAACGTGCTCGCTCACTCATAAATTTCTATTCTCTTTTCATTTTTTCTTGGACTAACATTAATTTTATTTTGATTTCAAATTTTGTAAGTAATTTGGATGTAATTCTTAGAAAAACGTTGTTTATTTTACGTTTTTTCATAACATGTTTTTTTTTTTAAATGTTTTTTTTTTTTTGTCTGCGTTTCGCTCGTTATGAATTTGGTATATATATATATGTATATATATATATATATACATATATATATATGTATATATATATATGTATATATATATATAAATAGGGTTACCTGACCGAACGTTCGGGGGCCTCCGGGCTGGCCCCCGAACGTTCGGGCGTTCGGGGTCTCGTTCGGGGGCCGAACACCTCCAGGTTCGACCCCCGCCAAAACTATTTTCGGGGCCTGAAAATACGTTGTTTTTTTTTAATTTTGTTTTGTGAGTTCTCCATGATGTAACCTACACGCCTATAAATTTTGAAGTCATTCTGCTATGCCAAAAAAACATTGAAAATCGTCAAAGATGGGGGTGTCAAAATGTGCTCGCCGACTCACTATTTTGATATTGTTTCACTTTTAACTTTTTTTTTTCAGTTTATTTTGGGGCCTAAAAACTTTGATTATTTTTTGAATTTTTTTTAATGAGTTATTGATTATGTAAACTACATATCTGTAAATTTTCAGGGCATTTGTGAATGCTTAAAAATAATTAAAATTCGGCAAAAACGGCGGTGTCAAAAAGGTGTTGGCTCACTCACTCATTTTATTTCTCTTTTTATTTTTTCTTATTTTTATCATAGTGTTTATTTTTTGTATTTGATTTGTAATTCATATTTGGTAAAGAATTTGGATGTAGTGCCAGGCAAATGTTGTTTAGTTTTTATTTCTCCATTACGTATGTTTTTTCCGGAATTTTTTGAAAACGTGTTTTTTTTTTTTTTTTTTTTTTTTTTTGGTCCGCGTTCGGCCCAAACAGCCGAACGCCTTCCGAACGGGTCCCGTAAGTTCGGGCATTCGGGTTCGGGCGTTCGGCCTGTCCCGAACGTCGGCAATCATGTATATATATATATACATATATATATATAGAACTGCCCGGTAAACCGTAGGCAGAGAGAGAGAAGAGGACAACAAACGAGGGGCTGTGACAAACTGTTTCGTCGGAGTTTCACCGACTCATCAGGAGGCTGAACCCTCAACAGTCTGCAGAATCCCCTCACTGATTACACTGTAAATGATAATCTACCTTAACCAAAATCAAAGTAGACTATCACTCACCCACACCAGATGRAAAACTSTACAGACTGTCGGTTCACACCCCATCACAAGCCAGCAAAACATCCACGAAACAAAGAAAGGTCTGTCACAGCCAAAAAATACACTCCAGATACGCCGCTGGCACTAAAGGCACTGCATGGCCACTTAGTAACGGCCCCGACCACTGCCGCTCGACCTGACCGGAAAAAACCGTAGCAGGAAGTATATCTGTTTGTGACGATATATATATATCGTCACAAACAGAACTGCCCGGTAAACCGTAGGCAAAGAGAGAGAATAGGACAACAAACGAGGGGCTGTGAACATATATATATATATATATATATATATATACATATATATATATATATATATACCTGACCGAACGTTCAGGGTCCCGTTCGGGGGCCGAACACCTCCAGGTTCGGCCCCCGCCAAAAAAAAATTCAGGGCCTAAAAATAAGTTTTGTTTTCTGATTTTTTTTCTGTGAGTTCTCTATGATGTAACCTACCCGCATATAGAGGTTGAAGCCATTCTGCGAAGCCAAAAAAACATTAAAAATCGTCAAAGATGGGGGTGTTAAAACGTGCTCGCCCACTCACTATTTTGTTTTTTTTCACTTTTAACTTTTTGTTTTCACTTTATTTYGGGGTCTTAAACATTTTATTATTTTTTGGAATTTCTTTAATGGGTTATTGAWTACGTAAACCACATATATGTAAATTTTCAGGGCATTCATCAATGCCAAAAAATAAATAAAAATCGGCAAAGATGGCGGTGTCGAAAAGGTGCTGGCACACCCACTCATTTTGATTCTCTTTTTATTTTTTCTTATTTTTATTATAGTGTTTAGTTTCTGTATTTGATTTTTAATTCAAATTTGGTAAAGAATTTGGATGTAGTGCCCAGGCAAAAGTTGTTTTGTTTATTACTTTCCATAACACAGGTTTTTTTCGGAATTGTTTGATTTTTTTTATTTTTTTTATTTTTTTTTTGCTCCACGTTCGCCCCGAACGGCAGAACACCTTCCGAAGGGGTCCCATACGTATATATATATATATGGAGCGCGGCCAGCCACATGACGAGATGCCCTTTCTTCTTTGGAGAAAGCRGCTGGATACATCACGGTCATCACGACAATCACAACCTTCCCAACGGGGGTTACAACCCCCGCCAYCACGACAGTGGGRRGACAAAAGAACAACGGAAAAAAAAAACAAAATCGATATGATTAGTATGGACATGAAAGYGGCTGGATACAGAATCTGGGGTTCATATGAGAGTGTGTCATCCCAACGGGCGTTACAGCCCCGCKGGACACTTGCAAAAAAGTAAAAAAAAAAAACCAACTCTATTGACGTGAACGCAGCTCGATAMAACATATGGAGTTTGTGTGAGAGTGTGTCCTCAACAACAAAGTGTCAGCAGTCTATGCATTGCGCCCAACCTCGTTGGCAGGGCCCTAAAACAAACAACCCAAAACAAAAAAACAAGGTGCAAAGTAAAAAACGAATGTAGCAAAAAGTCGGGGTAGACTCATAACTGAAAAACACTATTACGAGGTGTCCTTCC